CAGGTGGTCATCCCCCAAGGGGTCCCAGACTGAGAGAGAGCACAGGCCAGGCTGAGAAACCCTCCCCCCCCGAGTGCATAAATTTTTGTGCACCGGGCCTCTAGTCCTAATATATAAAAACCCAGGGTCCATAATGACTGAAGACTCGACTGACCAGAAGTCAGTCCTACAGTCAGTGCTTGGTTGCTGTGGTGACCCAGCACTGACTGCTGAGGGGGCTGTGGATCAGGCCCGGATAGAGGTTCAAAGAGAGAGGCAGGGTCTGATCCACAGCCTCCCTGGCAGCTGTTGATCAGCTGTTGCCTCTCCCTTTCTCTCCAGGCTTCACCATCAGCCGCACCTCTGTTTCTCTCCGGGCCACCACGGGGGCTGCTGATCAGCCCCACCTCTTTGATCAGGCCCAGAGATAGGCCTGGAGATGCTGACTGGCATAGAAAACAACTAATCAGGACCAAATCTGGGTGAAGTGTGAGGAGCCAATGGCTGCCTAGGAGGCAGAGCTTTTGGTGCTGACTGGCATAGAAACCAACCAATTAGAACCTAATATGGGTGAACTGTGAAGGTAGAATCTAAGCTGGGGGTTGAGGAGAGGTTTTAAGGGCAACAGCTGTTTGGTGTAAGGTGTAATAAAGCAGTTCAATTTTTTAATGACTGGTTTGGCAGTATAGTGCATATGGCTAGCTATCAGTCCAGATATAGGGATTATGTGTTTTTGTCTGCCAAGAGCATCTCCTCCTGCTGAAAAAGGCTGCCCCCTCCCCCCAATTTAAGCAATCCTATCCTATATAATCTATCTATACTAATAAAAGGGTAATATGCTAATTAGACCGAGTGAACTGGCCATCTTCTGGATGTCCAACTTCCTTCCAGACAAAGCCATGGTGGTGGGGGCCAAGGCAGAGAGGACAGTTGAGGGCAAGATCAGGCTGGCAGGGGAGGGCCGTTGGAGGAGAGATCAGGCCACCAGGGGAGGGCAGTTTGGGGTGAGATCAGGCCAGCAGGGGAGGGCAGTTTGGGGCGATCAGGCAGACAGGCAGGTGAACAGTTAGGAGCAAGTGGTCCCAGATTGCAAGAGGGATGTCCAACTGCCGGTTTAGGCCCGATCCCTGTGGGGTACCCTATTGGGCTGAGGGAAACACCCCCCCACACACACACAAATTTTGTGCACTGGGCCACTGGTATATAATATTTGACTATTAATAAGTTGGTACAAATATTTTACCTAAACCAAATAAACTTCTTAGCTGGATAAAATATTTACAAATTTTCTTGTTTTCTGCGTTAAAAAATAAAGAGAATATGGATGTATTTTTAATTTTTTTCATATTGATTTCTGAGAGAAAGGGAGAGAGAGAGAGAGAGAGAGAGGGAGAGAGACATCAATGATGAGAGAGAATCATTGATTGGCTGCCTCTTGCAGGCCCCCACTGGGGACTGAGCCCACAACCCAGGCATGTGCCCTTGCCTGGGATTGAACCCAGGACCCTTGAGTCTGTAGGCCAACATTCTATCCACTGAGCCAAATCAGCTAGGGCTGGATGTATTTTTAGTCATAGGTTTTCACTGTGAATGAATCAGTTGAGATTTAGAAGTTGGTGGGGGCTGAAGATTTCTAAAATGAAAACATATTTGTGTACTTACAAGGGTTTTTATCAACCGATGGTCATTAAGCCAATGATTAATGATAAAAGTGAAAACTTTTAGCCAATGAAGAAAAAAGCTTTGCTTGAGATATGTAGAGAAAATAATTGGTGAATTTTTTTTCCTTGCTTTGTGTATTAGCCTTTACTTCCATACTTATTCATTAGGTGTATAAAACATACATAGCTCTTAATCATATTTTCTGAGAATAATACACTAGAGTCATGGGCAGCAATAGATGAATGATACAAGGAGTGGACTGGGGCTGGGAAATCCAGTCAGCTGAGTAAGAGAACCAGGCAGCTGAGGAGCGGGTAACATTGTTAACAGAAGTCAACACATAGAAATCTGTGGGTTGAGAGGAAGTGAAGAGAGGGCAAGTCCAAAAGTCTGGATAAGGAGGGGTCATGAATCTGGAAAGCCAGAGGTCGGGCTAAGGGCACAGTCTCCAAATCCAGTTAGACAAGTTTGGGTAAGACATCACCCTATAAAAATAAGCCCAATCTGAAGTCAAAGTTGCTTTAATGGTCCGAACTGCAAGAAAGAGATGGTTCTAGTAACCCAGGGCTTCTTAACCTCTGCACGGTGGATTTCTGTAGCTGGATAATTCTTTGTTGTGGGAGGCTGTCATGTGCCTTTTGGGATGTTTAGCAGCTTCCCTGGCCTCCACTGGCTAGATGCCACTCCCTTCCCCCCAACCCCCCCGCCATGGAAACAAAAAATGCCTCAAATGTCCCCTGAAGGGCAAAACCACCCCTACTTGGAACCACTACAGTAAACAAAGTAGGTTTTCCCTAAAATGAGAGAGGGAGGGAGGAAGTTTGACCATATCTCTCCAATTTCCAACATCAGGATTCTTTGATATAGTTGTAAATTGTAAAACTGACATTGTTATTGGGAGGTAAGTTAATATCCCCAAATTCTCTATTAGGATTTAGATTCCAATTTTTAAAAAAATTATCTTCCATATTCCAAATCAATAAAAACTACACACAATAAATCCTATATACTAAAAAAATATAAAGCTTTTATGCTGAGAACAAAGAGATTTGAACTGAATCATACAAATATTACTTGCTGTAAGCCATGAAACGATGCACTGCAACTATACATTATTTGCAACCAAAGTCTATGGTAATTCCACAAATCTGCCACACTAGACTTCCAAACAACACATCTGGAAGGAAATATGTCAAATGTGCTTCACCAACAGCAAGATATAAAACTGTTGGAAAAAATTGTTACTGGTTTCCTTCCTTTGAAGTTCCTACTGCATTTCCACGATTGGCTTTGTTAGGGCCTTAACCGTACCCCTCTACTCCCAAATATATATGTCAACATCTTAACACCCATTACCTCATCATGTGGCTGTGTTTAGAGATAAGGACTTTGAATAAATAATTAAGTCAAAATGAGGTCGTTAGATGGGCCCTAATTGAATATGATTGGTTTCCTTATAAGAAGAGGTTATTAGGACATAGACACACACAGAAGGAAGACCTCACGAAGATACAGAGGACCTGGCCATCTGCAAGGCAAGGAGAGATGTCAGAAGACACTAAACCACCTGATGCCTAGATCCTGGAACTGTGGCCTCCGGAATTTGAGAAAGTACATTTCAGTTGTTTGAGCCATCTGATCTGTGGTCCTTTGTCCCAGCAGCCCTAGCAAACGAATACAGGCACTTTTCCGTCTTCCTTCCTGGTGACCACTTTCCTGCTCACCTACCGGTAATAGCACCACAGGGACTGGATGATTTGGATGGGATTTAATTTTGAGATCATCAATTTGACTCATATTAGGAAAGATTTTATGATTGTAGATATTAGAAGAAAGAGAAGCATGGTAGCTTTGAAAAATGATGGGCACTTAATTAAATTAGAAATAAGACTTTCTCAATGTTCCAAATGCAACTGCGAAGTTGAATCCATTCTTACCTGAAGACGTTCTGAGGAAATTAACCTATTATCACTTGTGCAGTGACAGATGTCATAGTCAATTTTAAAATATAACTCCGTTGCTCCTAGCTGTATACCTCATTATTCTCAAGTATCCATAATTTTCTATATCTAAAAGGTAGGGTTAATATAGTGCCTGCTGTCTTAGAGTTATTATGAAGCTTAACTGACTTGGTCCATGTACCTGGCTAATAGAAAGCAACTATAAATGTTATCTGTTATCCCTATCACTAATATTAGGTAGTACTTATGCATGTGTTGTATGTTTCATACTATCTTTTCTAGCCTAACTTGCATTGTTTTCTCATACATTGTGTTTCAGAAACCTAATTGTGAAATTTAAAGACATATGATTACCCCCAAACATAGATATTCGGTTTAATATAAAAAATGATCTTTTCCCCCTTAAACTATTATCATTATTGCTTTGGAAAGGGTTAAGAAGACTAATTAAAGATACCCTGAATAAGTCAGACTAGGGAGATTATATGGCAAGGAAAATTATATTCTAATCAAATATGATATAGTTATAAATTAACCATAAATTCAAATTTTGGACAGATAATATATGTCATCTATAGTAGCAGTTACATATTCCATTAAATGTTACCCTTATTTTATATTGAATAATTAGAATTTACAAACGGCTGTTGACTCAGCATTGGAAAAATATTTAACAAGTTGGGGGGATTTTGACATTAAGTTTTAAAATGCACTTGCTGTTATACATATGCACTGGAAATAATTTCATGAACATGCCATGATTTAAAGCATTGATGTGAAATTGAAAATGATTTTATTATTATTTCAGTGGCTCAAGTATTAAAATGCATTTTGGATTTATTTAGAATAGCAATTTTTCAACAACCATTTATTTGCATAGTTATTAACACATTCTGAACTACTAAAACTGTCTAATTTTAAAAATGTTTGTATGATTTTTGGCTTTGCATCATTGGAAATACCTGCTAATGGGTAGATTTGTTTCAATATAATGGCTTATACTTATGAATTTTTTTTTTTTTTGGTGGATGTAGGCACAGGCCTGGGCAATTTATAAGTGTGGAGAAGAAACCACAGATCATGCCATTGTGGGCCTGAGGAAGAGCCTTTAGAAGTTATTTGGTTAAATCTGTCTTTTTTGATGTGAGGAACTGAGATTCAAGAGAGGCTTTGATGTCCCCGAGATGACACAATGACCTTGTTGGACAGAGATCTTGGGCCTAGATTTCCTATCATCACCCTGAATTCTTAAAAACTATGATACAAGTTCCCTTGGGTGACCTCTGCACAGAGACCACATTTGTTACCATCTTTAAGATGCAAAATGAAATAGAAATATAAGTGATGCCTCCATTTCTTCAATCCTCAATTCCAAAGGAAACAAATTGCTTTACTTACCTACAGGGAAAAAGTCGCTCATTTTCTTTTTGTAGATTTTGAAGTCGACTTCTAAGAAGACACAGAAGATGATTCGGTCCACCTAGAGGCAAACGATAAAACACTCAAAGTGAAAGGAAATATGGCAACCGCCTTTCCAGAACATGGACTTAGAGCAAAAATCAGATGGGAAGTCCTCCTACAGATTTTTGGTGCTGTGCTGCTAGCTATATGACAGCACTGAGTGAAGTGTGTGTGTGTGTGTGTGTGTGTATGTGTGTGTGTGTATGTGTGTGAGTATATGTGAGTGTGTGAGTATATGTGAGTGTGTGAGTGTGTTAGTTTGTGTATGTGTTTGTGTGTGTATGTTTATGTGTGTACTTTTTAGGTAAATAAGTCCATGGCCTTTTTCTTGGAAAGATGTTACATAAATCAAGTAAGAAATAATGAAAATAAGTCACTTTACAGCGAGCTAAAAATAAGATCTAAGATTCTGAAAGGATACCTAGACTTTATGTCTTATAAAACAGCCACATGAGAGCTGTACAGCAGAGTGACAATAAAGTATGTCAGTAAACAAAGCTCTTTGCCCTACCCTTGTTAAGTAAATATACTTATCAATCCTGATAGACTGAAAAGCTTCTTCCAGTTTAATTTGCATGAGGTCACTTGCTCTTAGCTTAACATATTCAGAAATAAAATACAATTAATTGACAGTTATACGAGGCCAATATAACTTGAATCTAGGAAGTATTATGGGATAAGTAAATGCCACTTCAAAAGTAAACTGTGCGTGCAGGACCGTCTTTCTGCTTTGAGAGAGTTTCTGCATGTCAGGAGTTTCTTTGAGACATTCAGAAAGTACGGTAAGCAGCGGAGAGAAATGGAGTATGGGCAATAGCTCACATATATCTGATATTGAATCAGTAACTCAATTTTGTGAAATAAATACCCCTTTAGTTCCTTTATTGTAACAATCTACCAGAAGTTAAAAATCACTTAATCTATCAAACTACAACTGGTAATTGAAAAGAACATTAAGGGAGGCATTTTTCAGGACAGTAAGGAATGGAAGTGGGATGTGCTCATGGCAGGACATGAAAGAACACAAATGGACACCCTCCTCTTAGCCCCTCAGCTCTCCAGCCTGTGGGGTTCAGATCCATGCTAGCCAAGTCCAATGTTCCCAGCAGAAGAGATCTACAGGGGTGGGAGGAGGAGAGGGAGAGCTAGGACACAAGGAATCACCAGGATTCCCTGATGGAAGCTCAGAGTTGTGGCTCCCTGATCCCTGCAGAAATCTAGACCCACATCTAGATACACTGCCTCCTGGGCACTTACTGGACTTCTATGGTATTATCACCAAACACCATGCAGCCCCAGTAAATGCCTGCATATTACAGATTTTAAGAGAAAGCACCTGGCTTCCCCAAATGGAAGGAATGGTGTGCAAATATCCATATATTCTTTTCCCTGTATTCACTTGAGCTTCTGGTATCCAGTTCTTTCTGCATATCAATAACATTTTCTTCAAATGCAAAAACCGTCACCATCAACTTACTCTCCAGGTGAACTATAAGATCAGTTACATAAATGATTGACTATCTGCAATACTGAACGCTAGTCTACACTCTCCTCATGGCATGTCTATGCCCTGTGACTAAAGATAAATATCATAATGTTGAGCAATAGAAACAAGTTCCAACGGAACATATATTCTATGATACCATTTATATAAGTTTCTAAAGCACAAAGATACAACAGGGAAGGGAGTCATTCATAAGCATGAGATTTCTGAATATACAGAAACAACCCAAGAATGTCATACACAAACCTCAGGATGCTGATGATTTCTGGGGAAGGAGGGAAAGTAAAGAGATGAACAAGTAAGTCTTTAACTGGATAGCTAATACTTTATTTGTTTAGAAGGGAAAGGGATTAGAGAAAATATTACAAATGGATAATAGCTATAACTATGGGGCTAAGTACATGGTTATCACATAATTTCCTGTATTTTCTTGTATATTTGAAATACTGCATAATTAAGAGTTCTAACCCTAAAAATAACACTTGTCTTAGACATACTCTACTCTCCAGTTGCACTGAGCTGCTTGTTGTTTCCAAACACCATAATTATTCTGACTTCTGTACCTATGATGGTTGCCTTTTTCTCTAGGCTTCAAGTAGTCAGATTATTTCTAAAACCACCTAGTTGAGATAAAAACCAAAAAAAGAAAATTTGACTTATCACAGCCCTAAGAAAACCAACCAGCACAATCTCATCTATACACGTTTTCCTTTATTTTATGGTCTCTTAGTATAAATTATCAAATTTTTTAAAGCACTCATGTAGTGTGTGCATGTGCGTGTGTGTGTGTGTGTGAGAGTGTGTGTGTGTGTGTGTGTGTTTGTGTGGAGAGGGGTTAGTGGTAATACTTCACAGACTAAATGCAGATTTCTTAAACATTGCAAAGAATTTTAATCCACTTTCAACATTTTCGGCTTTGTTACCATGGAAATGGTATGACAAATTCAGCAACCTGATTTTATTTTCCCAGAGAGAAGGTAGATGATGAAGAAAAGATTCATTATTTTAAATTAATTGAGTGGCCAAGTTCCCTGCCCTGTCCTTCCAGCATGACACTGAAAATATCTTGAAAGCAAGGTGAATCCAATAATTAACTTCACTTACCAAGTACTTGTTATGTATGCATCTGTAAATATATTTATATATGTGTGAAAAAGCCTAGTCTCTGTTAGTCAAGACCTCATTTGGGTTACAAGCCTGGTGTTCATAAACTCATGGTGGGTATTGATCAGTGCTTGCGGTAGATTGTATTTTCCAAGATGGTGTGCAGCATGGTGTCTGGTCCTACAGGTTCCTCTTAAAATGTGATGCTAACACTCCTCTCACTGAAAGACAGGATCTTTATTCCCTCCTCTTGAATCTGGGAGTGTCTGTAGCTCTGGCACAAATGACATGTAACTTCTGAGTCCACATCATAGGAGATGATGTGGCTTCTGTCTGGCCCTCTTTGGAGGCTCACTCTTATATCCAATCACAATGCTGGAAGGAAGCAGAGATACTGCATGAAGAATTCACACGTAGAAGTTCTAGCCAATAGGCCTGGTCAAAAGTGAGTTGCCTGTAGAATTAGCTCCTGACTTTTGAGTTACCCAAGGTGATGCCACCTGGAGCAGAGATATGTTGTTCCTGCTGAACTCTGCTCAAATTGCAGATTCGTGAGTAAAACATAGAAATCCATTCCTAGAGATCTGATATTCTTCTAGCTTCTTCCTCTTGCCACTGTTGGGATTTTTTGTCTTTCAGCTATGTGACACTGGGCTCCTGCTGAAAAGCTCAGACTGAATGGATTCCAGTAGAAGCCACAATGGGGTGACAAAAAATATAGAAAGTCTAATTGCTACATGACTGATCAAGAGATTGGAAATCTGACCTGTGTCCATTCTTGCCCCAGATAAATTTCATGAGAATATGTAGGAATATGTAACAATGGTTTTAATTTTTCTTTTATGGTAGGCGCTAGAACAATTTTATAAAATGGTTGTTCTTCAGAGACTATATTTATTCATTTATTCATTAGCTATTAACTGAGTACCTTCAATGTGTTGGGCCTTGCCCAGGTGCCATTCTCTCACCAGAAAACTTGAATCCAGAATTGAGTATTTTTCCCAAGGTCAAACAATTAATTAGTGGCAAAATCTCAGGCATCTTAATTTCATGTCCACAGTTCTTTCTGTAATATCACCCAGATCAACACACATGGGACTGAGTTTATATATCTGTCACTAGTTATGTGACACTGGACAAGCCACCCTCTCACTGGGCCGCAGTTTTCATGTCTTTATAAAGAAAGGATTGAATTGTATTCTCCTTTTATTTATTCTTTAATCCCAGTTATAGTCTATCTCTGTGGTCATTTTGTACTCCATCAACCTAGATAAGCTAGAATTACATTTCTCTGGTTCTGGGTTAGAGTTGGCCACAGAGAAATTTCCATGAGATTTGGAGGGCAGAAGCATGCAGCCACTGCACTAGGCAGGTGAGTACAGGGCATCAGGCTCTGGGCAGGTCGTGTACATGTTGATCATCAGCTGGCCCTTGGCTTTTGCAATCCTTGCTGGTTCCCCTGCCTCAGATTATCTGAGTCCTGGGCTGGGCCCGTGTGCAGCTCTGCTGCAAGGACACCAGCTTCTTCTGCAGGGCATTGCCATCTGGGGATGCCATGCACTGAGAGACAGATGCATGTGGCAGTCTGTCCCTGTGGGTTCCAGTTTGCCCTCATAGCTTTTCCTTGTTCTTTTCAACTTTGCATCCAGCTTTCCTCTTGACCATCTTTTGACTGCCCCTTGATTACCTACTCTACTGACATACTCCAGATCTGGTCAGATGCAGAAGCAATGGCCTTCCATAGACTTCTTCACCAGCTTTGCTCTGCTCAGCTAATCATCCCCTCTGAACATTAACCTCCCCATTTCCACCTACAATTGTATAAAATCAAATCCATATAACAACTCCCTTGTTCTATACCACCCACAAGATTCAGCTTCCCTTACTAAACCCTGCCCGATCTAATCTTTAATATCATATCATTGAAGATCATGTAGAAGAACACAGTGAAGGACAAAAAATAATAACAGTGTTCTTTTTTGGAGGCATTTAACCTGTCAAGGTTACTCAAATTCCATTTACTTCCTTCACTATAAACTTTTGTTGGTCCTGCTCATCTTCTTGGTGAACTTTCTAAAGTGTGCAGCCATTCTTTGGTAGTTAAAGCAACTCTGTGTACTTAAAATGACTCACACTTTTTTAAACAAATATTTATCTATTCATTTATTTTAAATATATTTTTATTGATTTCAGAGAGGAAGGGAGAGAGAGAGAGAGAGAGAGAGAAACATCAATGATGAGAGAGAATCATTGATTGGCTGCCTCCTGCACATCCTCTAATAGGGATTGAGCCTGCAACCCGGGCATGTGTCCTTGAGTGGAATTGAACCAGGGACCCTTCAGTCTGTAGGCCACTGAGCCAAACTGACTAGCATTCACACTTTTTTTAAAATGGACAAGTTGTTAGTCAA